TGTAATCAAAAATTAATTTAATTTTTTTTATAAATATATTCTATATATCTTCAAATATTAAATATATTTATTTAATTGCAAATTAATATGTAATATTTTGTATAATTATATTTTAATTCAAATGTATCAAGTTAATGTATCATGCTTAATAAGATGACCAATATTAATAAAAACAAAAATATATAAAAAAGACAAAAATTTCAATAAAGTAATACTTATTTTTCATACTTCTAAATAATATAAGAAAGATCAAAGTCTCTATAGTAATAGTAGTTATTAGTTAATAGTGTAATTTAATAGTTAGTTAAAGTGCTATTAAATAAAAATAAAAAAATAAACAAATTCAAGTACATAAAATAAAAGTAAACTTATATTTATCTAAATTGAATTTACACTTTGAAGTTTTGTTATTTTAAATTTGTAATATTACATAATGTCTTGTTAGTTAAAAAACAAACTTACTATTTATTTATTACAATATATTTAACTTTTAATTAATTTGAAATTTTTACATTATAAAAAGTATAATTATATAATTTGATTTAACTTAATCAAATATTTGATTTTAAATCAAATTCAAATCTGAAATTTTTAAATCAAATTAAATTTAAATATAATCAAATTTGATTTAATAAATATTTAATTTAATTTAAAAATTTATAATTAAATATTTAAAATTATAAATTATTTAGTCAAAATGTTATTAAAACAATTCTTTTTTATTCTATAAAACTAAAGATATTTTGTTTAAAAAAACACTTGTATTTAAGAGCTCAAGATTAATTAATATAGTAAATTGTTTTGTAAATTCAGTTTTATTTTTATTGATCAATATTTTAAATTTTTTTTAAATTAAATTAAATTTAAATATTTGAATTAAATATTTGGTTAAATCAAATTCAAATCTAAAATTTTTAAATTAAATTAAATTCAAATTAATTCAATATTTGATTTAATTTGCATTTGAGGAACCCTAATAATAAAAATATCTATAATGAGACTCTTATTTTTAATAATCAGTTAAAAATGTTTGATTTATATTTATAGCAGTTAAACTTGATTTTTAAGAAGTTATAAAGTATATTAAGTCATCAACTTATTTTTAATAAGTACACATTTATTAGTATGTTTTTTAAAATTTAATTTTTTAATACTTCATTTTCATTTATACTTTATTGTTGTTAATGTTTTATTGTCATTAATGCATTATTGTCATTGATGCTTCATTGTTATTAATGTTTAATTGTTGCTAATATAAATATGCCACAAGGCATTCTTTTTGAGGTTTTAAAAAAAAAAATTTGCAGATGCTTAATTGTTGAAATTATTTATGTTTTATATTGTTAATGCTTAATTAACTGCCATTACTACATGGTATATATAATGAATATATATTGACATGGTATATAATGTTTAAGCTATATCTATGACTAATTTAAATCAATTTAAATAATGTCAAAATTAATTAAACTAGTTATAGCACAAATTGTTATATTTCATATATTAAGAATTATATATATTTTCTAGCAAAATGGTATATTATATTGCAACAAGCATATTCTCCAAATAAAAGCACCGAAAATTTGGGGTTTTATTCTGTTAATAATTAATTTATATGTACATAATCTCAATGTAAAACACAAGGTCTTACTATTACACTTCATATAATAGATATGAATTAGGAATATATAAGGAAATAATTTTAAATAAAAAAAAACTAATGATCTTTTTTTCTCATATATTGCTTAGTCTCACAAGGAATCCATGTTAAAATTGTTTGGTATATGTTCTTTTGAACTTAAATTGTGAGAAATTTCTTTTGGAAGGATGCTTTTTAGTTCGTAAGACACAGATGTAATATAATGCTTTACCTTAATATTACGTAGAAGTGAAATACGACTAAATATTTTAAAAAATATATCTCTCAAAATTACTCTGTATTACAATATCACAGCGATAAATCTCTACATTGGTTAAATAATAGAACAATTACTATGCAACTTGAACAATAAGTACCTAGATCCAAACGATTGGAATGTGTTTGAGTTGCAAGAATATCTGCTTAATTTAGAACAAAGAAGTAAGAACATTAGATTATATGAATATTACATTTCTTACCTCCAAAGATACTACAGCAATTGTTTTGAATACAGACATGTTACTCTTTCAAAACCACCTGTTCAATAGTCCTTCCTGATCAACTCATAATGGAAGAAGAATGGCGAAGCCTTGGTGTTAAGAAATCTCCTCACATCTTACTTTTTAAACATGAAAAAGATTACCAATTCAAGTATGGCATTCCACAACCTCAAGATGAATTAGTTGAGCAAGATAATCAGAATGTGCAATATGAACAGAATTCTCAGTATCAACAAAATATCCAATATCGACATCAATATCATCATCAAAATGTTCAGTTTTATCATCAGAACGTTCAAACTGTTCATTATCAACAAAATGCACAGTATCAACAATATAGATAAAAAAACTGTATAAGTTTGGTTTAGGTTCTAAAGCTTTTTAGGTTCCCAATTTAAAAAATCTATAAACCGGGTTTTTATTTAATAAGTTCCAACCTAAGTTAAACCTGGATTGGTCCATAATCAAAATTTAAAACCTGGTTCTTAATACCTTATGCTTACTTTATAACAGCATAAAGTATTTTAATAAATTTATACCAATTTTTTTTTTTTAATAAAAAAAAAGTACAGCACGCCATAAAGAGCTCATGGAAAAGTGTTGGAACGATAACTTGAAAATAATGATGCGATATGAATGGAATTTAAACCATTATTGCCGAATAGAATTTCATTCTGTTGGAACCACACCACCTTGGAGCATTCCATTATCATCTTGAATAAACCTTCACCTCTTCCTATAGCACCTCTAGCAAGCATGTGGATCAGACCAATTACACTGTGTCTTCAAGGATTAAAGGCTATTTGTATGTAAATTTGATTCAACCCACTGATCAAATATATACCCGTTACAAGTCAAAATATCATATTATTATGTTTAATTAGAATCTAATCCTAAGTAGCGATCGTTTTATCGATCACTTCTGGGAATTAAATGCTCACTTAAAGATTGGAGAGTAAAACTTTAAATAACTAACATATTTTTGTTTTAGCTTATGCTCATATGCATGTATTGTAGGCTAAACAAAGCTTTCGCTTTGAAACTTACAGTATTTTGTTCAAGCAAAACATTTCTTATTTCAAAAACAAGTAATTTTTTGTATAACATTGTTATAGCCTGTTGGAAACATTTCCAGCAAAGAAACATATTTTCATTATGCGAAACATCTCGTATTCAACGAATTATGTAGTCACTAAAACTTTTAATTTATTAAAGCATTGGTAGTAGTATAGCATTTAATGTATTATTATTATAATGAAAAGACAAAACACAGATACAGTATATGTCACTTAATCCTAAAAATAATCTCTACAGCAGAGCCCGTTAATGTTACACGTACATTAAAACTGGTGAGGGATTATATTCACCACATAAATAATTTAATTTGTGATTGATCACAAGCGAGGGTGATTCACTTTGATCAGGCACTGTCTCTGCTGTAGTCATTCACTCCAAAAATCGGATACACTATTTGTCCTCTGTTAAAAAAGTAAAACCTAGCAAACTGAGACTGCTAATCATTTGTTATTCGGTTATAAAATTTAACATTCAGCTCCTGGGCCCTTCAGAACCACATAATTAATAATTTTATATAAATTATTCACATTGTATCCTAGAATCGATTCCCACCTTGTGTTGTGCTACCTGCTCTTGTTCGTTTGTTCTGTGTGACTGAAAATTTTATAGTGGAATGGGTGTTCCTCAAAATTATTTTTGCAATATAATATTTATTCAATCTACCCATCTCACTTAAGCTTTAAAAAGACATTAAATAAAATTATAACTTTGAGAAGTCTTAAATTTCATAATTTATAAGAAAAATATTTAAATAGTAAATCGCAGTTGAAGGGTATAAATTTCATAATAAAAATCGGCGAAGAATTACTATTGCTTTGGACTGCTGAAAGTTTCTAATATGTAAAAATCATATAGTTATAAAGGAAAAAATACCTTTGTTAGAACTCAAGAAAGGCTTACTTGGAATAAAAAAAAACTTTCATTGCAATCTAACTGCATTCCAACCCAGAAATTTCTTCTATTAAATTTGCAATTTTTATTCCCTTTACTATACTTGCCGGCCAAATCCCAAACTATTATAGTTTGGGTTTGTCTACACTCAAATCCCAAATCCAAGCCCAAACTAATATCTCAAAAACTTTATTAATAATCTTTATTAAACAATTAATATATATTCTTATAGTTATATATAATATATTTACAAAATATCAAAATTAGTTTGTTGATTTAATTTTTTATTAAAGCAATTTGTTTTTTTGGGGTTTGGGATTTGTCCGGGGTTTTCCAGCAAGTATGCCCTTTACCCGCGATTTACTTAAAATTTTTTTTATAAAAGTTTTAATCTTACATAATTTTAATACGTATAGGAAATAATAAATTTTAAAAGTGTGTTGCAGATTTTAAAAATGTGTTGCAGTGTAAAATTTAAGATTTAAAGTGCTTACCTTAATCCAAAGTTTCTAAAATAAAAAAAATTGCAAATAGTTATGTATTTGAACAACTTTACATATTATGCCCAGTTATATATCTGAATAACTTTTCCTGCTATCGTTATGCTCAGTTAAGTACGCACGTACGGTCGAGATGTCACACAGATCATACTGTATGTGCAAATTTTTTCACATGTTCGACTCATTTAAATTTTATATGTAAAATTTAACGTTAGGCAAAATTTGCTTTCTAAGCTTATTTGATAATAAAGAGCGGTTAAAAATAAAATGCAAAAGAATCTTGGTCACAAAGTTGGTCAATTTTTTCACGATTTTTATTGTTTGTTTGATAAATACTGTCAGGATGTACTATATAGACAATTTGCTACTATATAATAAAAATATATAAGGATATTTTACTTATGCGTTATATAACTATATATAATATATATACGTATATATATAATATATATATATATATAATATATATATATATATATACAGTATACTATATAGCATTTGTTGTTATTATAAAAATAATTTTACTACGTACATTGTACTATATACAGATATAGTAACGTTATCCATATTTTAAAGGTAATCAAACTTTAAGCAAAGACATTTAGTGTTCCAAAAAAAAAAAAAAAAACCAAGTTTTTAAAGTTTGGCATACATTTATAAAAAATATGGTATATGTTGTATAGAACCACTAAAAAAAAATTTATTATTAAAATAAATATACAGTATATAAGGTATTATGGCGCATTACCAATTATGGCATAGTTGCAATATGGGGTCTGTGCCTTAAAAAATGACAATAATTTCTATGTTATTTTCAAGACATAGACCCCATATCTCGTGACTCACTAATCAGAATTGCATAATTTTAGTACCATTCGATTCATTCGATTGAACCACTAGATATTGCCAATACTCCGATTACACCATTTTGCTTATTGAATTCTACATCATATATGATCGTCATTAACTCGCGATCCTGTGATCATAATTAACCAATTTCGATTCGTCTCGATGAGACGAATCGAATAGCACAAAAACCACTCAACTTGGATTGATAGGTCACTAGTTATTCCAGATTTACTATCAATTACTATGCTTATTTTATAATATTTAAATGACAATATCTTGAGATATAGCAAACAATATTGGATGATTTTTATATAATTTAATTCGTCTCATTGAGACGAATCGATTGGTGGTAAAATCATTCAAATATAATCACTAGATCTTGAGATATCACTAGTGCGCTACAATACCTTTAAATTTTGTATAGCATACGATCGTCAATAACTTGTGATTCTGTGATTTAAATTAAACGACTTTGATACCATACGATTCGTCTTGATGAGACGAATCGAATAGTACCAAAATCATTTAGTTTGGATCAATAGATCACAAGTTATGCTGGATTTTATTTTAACTACGCCATAATACCCATACTTACCTTATATTTAAAAACAAAAATTGTGTAATACTAATTTGAGTCGTAATATATAAAGTTCTAATAAATAAGTATTATTTATTTTTACTAGCTACATTAATATAAATTATAAAAATTGCAATGCAAAATCACCTGTACGATAAAAAAAAACGTTTCTTAATAGTCATGAATAGCCCGAGTTTCTTAGGTACAAAAATAATTACAATTTTGGCATAATATAAAAATTTGTTACGTATAGTCCTAGAGTTCCCATATACCGCTGCGCGGGAAATATGCAATTAATTTTATTGATCAGCCAAGATGCAATAGATGTTGAACCAAAAGTTCTATTTAAGTAATTGTTTCGAAGATTATCGCACCATAACTATGAAGTGTACGCACATTGAAGAGTAGGATTTGCATCACCATTACTGCATTATATAAGATAAATCTCCAAATAGCTGCATTTTTGTACACAACTAAATATTTTTATTAAATAAATAAAAACAAAAAAATCTATATCGCATAACTATCAAATCGTTCGAAACAATAAAATCACCCCTTATAATGTTACATTAATATATTGCTTATTAAAAAAAAAAATATTAAAAATATTATTCGTGATGGAATTATATCACGTGATATTATCATGTCGCGAAAACTTTGATGGACAACCTGGCATTTTGCAAGAAAAATTCTTTTCTCCTTATTATGGCGTGATAAATGTCCACTATTGAATTGTTATTATTATAAATAAAAGTTTTAATAATAACTATTTATTTTTTTCTTGCAAAAAATTTCAACATTTAAGTATGAATGTTAGTACGAACATTAGTACTAACGTTAGTATGAATGTTGTAAATTCGTCGTGTTAGATTATTCAATAAAAATGCGATCACGTGCATGGAAAGATTTTTTAGAGAAGTTTTAAAACCATTAGTTAGAAAGTAAACGTAACTCAAGACAAATAAATTTATGATTATAATAATATGAACAAATAGGTGTCGCCAAGCAAAAACCAGGAATTGAGAGTTTTCCGAAATTTAAATTTATCAGGAAAGAAAGCGGAGCCGGCAGAAATCGAAATTCCAAGTTTTCGCCCAAAAATAGTAACAAGAGGAAACGTCGATGTTACACGACTGATCCTTCACCCGATGTGAAACGCAACATATAAAAAATTTATTTTACAATATCAGATCATTCTGCTAGTACATGTTATGATTATAATCCAACACCATTTTTATTATAATAAAAAGGTGTTGGATTATAATCATAATATGTACTAGCAGAATGATCTGGTATTTAGAGTTGCCTGCTGCAAAGTCGCAACTTGCAATTTACAGCTTATTTATGTTGTAATTATTACAAAATAAGTCATCATTGACTAGATTAAGATGGTTACGTCTATTGCGACAATAAGTTGCAACCCTAGTTGCGCTATAAAAAAGTCGCAATTCATATTTGCAGCAAGCAACACTACTGGTATTGTAAAATAAATTTGTTATATGTTGCGTTGCACATCGGGTTGATCAACTAGTTGTCTGATTAGTTGATCGATTAGCGTTAACGTTAATATTAAAATTATATTTGTACACAACATTGGTCATATTGTGGATGATAACTGATTATTACTAGGACACTATGCTTATGACGTGACCGAAGGGCACGTCAAAACACGGTGTCTGCTGTGAAAAATGTTATAGTAAAAACATTTAAAATTCAAACTGCAATACCTCTTTAGCCAGAAACCCTGTATAAATAAAATTACATTCGTTAAGTTCGTTTTAACATGCTCTTTAAAGTAATAATGCTATTTTTATTGTCTAGAGTGTGGCGAAGTCTCCAAATTTTTATGCAAAATTCTCGTTTTTGATGCATTTTTAATAAAAAAAATTCAAAAACGTAAAAATTAAAATTTTGTTTGCATGTTGTGTAACAACAAATTTCTTATGACGGTTTCAGTTTAAGAAAAAATATTGGATATTTAATAAGAACCCCCAAAAAGAGCGTTATTACTTTAAAAAGTATGTTAAAACAAACCCGACAAGTATAAATTTTATTTGTGTGGATTTGCTAGTTCAAGAGTTATTGCGTCTTGAATTTTATTATATATTTTATTATCAATTATCGTTATCGTTATACCTGCACTATTTGTGTCCATGATACACAAATTTTATTATTAGATACTTCAGATACTAATAGATATTAAATAAATAATTGACGAATATAACGAAATGTACAAGAAAAATTCCAATATAAACTTTTGCTTTCAGACTTTAATTCCTCAAAATTTTGCCTCTTTAAAGACAAACAGTCACCGTAAAAACCTTTTTTCAGAAGACACTTTTTTTCAAATTTTCGCTCTTAACGAATCAAGACTATATTTCTACAATTGTAATCATAGAAAATTACCGTTATCGTAGAATTTGACCTTTTTTTTGTGCATATAAAAAAATGCCTCGACAAAAAACACGCAATAATACGACCTTATCATGCTTCTATTGTCGACAGAGACATGAAAAATGCGAAAGACCTCATGGGGAAGACATCTGTACAAACTGTAGAGAACGCAATCGGCTCTGTGTTTTTATTCCTGGTAACAAACGTGGTCCAAAGCCGCGAATGCAAAATACTGGGCTTGCAAACCTCCAGGCTTTTTCAAATTTTAATCCTTATACACCTGGCATCGAAAATAGTTCACACCCTGTATCAAGAGCATCTTACACTCAATCTCAACACACGAACGGTATTGAGTGCTATTCATTTCCCACACCAGAAGTTTACATCCAGTATCAATTCACGCCTAGTACCGAGAGCTATTCACGCCTGGCACCAGGAGTTTACAACCAGTATCAAGAGCCACTTACACAAAGTAACTCGGGCAGCTTATATCCAGTATTGGGGACTACTGAAGTACTCCAAAATATGTTCATTAATCAACCCTCCTTAACATCTTCCTCTTTTACCCACGAAGAACCCACGCTAAATATTGATCCTTCAACTATTGATCCTTCAACTATTATTGATCCTTCAACTATTATTGATCCTTCAACTATTATTGATCCTTCAACTATTGATCCTTCAACTATTATTGATCCTTCAACTATTATTGATCCTTTAACTATTGATCCTTCAACTATTATTGATCCTTCAACTATTATTGATCCTTCAACTATTATTGATCCTTCAACTATTATTGATCCTTCAACTATTATTGATCAACTATTATTGATCCTTCAACTATTATTGATCAAGTATTATTAATGACCTTTCAACTATTTTTGAACTACCCGTCATATTGTCATGTATAATTTTTTTCTTCAATTAATATGCAGTGAAGTGCTCCTTCTATAAATGCACACACACTCTAAATGTACGCTTAAATTCGAGCCCAAATATATACATGACCTCCATAAATACATTTTTTCTTATTATTATCCTCTAAGTGCACGTCGCTAAAGTTCAGTCTCAAAATATGAAGGTTTTACTGTATATTTTTTTCTTCAATTGATATATTTTTATCATATTTATTTTACTACATTCTCTTTTTCGGAGTATTCTTTTTTTTGATACATTCCCTTTTTTTGGTACATTTTCTTGTTTTATATTTTCTCTTTTTCGTTGCTTTCTCTTTTTCGTTACATTCTCTTTTTCGGAGTATTCTTTTTTTTGACGCATTTCCTTTTTTCGGTACATTTTCTTGCTCTATTATTTTCTCTTTTTCATTACATTCTCTTTTTCAGAGCATTCTTTTTTTTTGATGCATTCCTTTTTTCGGTACATTTTCTTGTTTTATTATTTTCTCTTTTTTTCGTTACTTTCTCTTTTTCGTTAAAAGATTTTCGTTTAGTCACAAACATTTTATTTATCGTAAACATTTTTTTACCGCAAGCATTTTTCATAAAACTATTTTCCTTCCCGTTTTTATTATGAATTTATTTATTACAAACACAAACATTTTTTTGTCATTAAGAACGTTTTTATTGCAAACATTTATTTTTTTCACGAACAGTACTATTGGTTAAACATTCTATTTTAAATGAATGTATATATTCGAATCTATGTAAATTTAAGATTTTTAAGGTATAAGGATAATTAGTAAATATGATATAATAAAATATTAAAGAATTTTTATGTAAAAGACAAAATGTGGGTTAATTATTTTTGAACCCGGACCAATTTAAACATTTTGGTCTGGATTCAACCATTATATAATATAATGTTGCTATATGCTCCATTATATATGGCATATTCTCTGCCTGCGGGATATATGAGTGTCAGTCATACACTATATACCGTGACATAAACTTTTAAGCACAAAGAATTTTTTTTTTTTTTATAACACTTAGATGAAGTATTAACGTTCGATATTTTGTGTTGTTTTGAAATTTCTAAACCGAATAAAATAACTTGGACATACTAGAGGAATATTTCTAAATCAAATAAATAACTTATTTAAATAATTTTAGACACACCAGAGTAATTCTTGTAAAGAAATAATAAGTATGTTAATGAAAAACTTGCTATAATTAATGACAAGTATCGATACACTGGCTGTAATATTAGATAACTAATACGTTTTTTTACATTTCTTAGTTTTTACAATTAACGCAAATCAATATTTAATAATCATTTCCTCGACATAAAATTGGCCATTTAGAGTTAGTGTTGGTTAGAATTATATGTCGGAGAATAATTTTCGGGAAATGTCTCGTCTAAGAAAACAGTCAGGTATTTTACGCGATTTAGAAATAATATGCAATAGACTTAAAATAATAAAAAAAAAGATAATAATAAAAAAAAAGAAATTGAGAACCATATTGGTATAAAAAAAAAAAAAAAAAAAAAAAAAAAAAATATATATATATATATATATATATATATAACATGACATTTTTTATTATTAATCAGTTCTAAAAAAACCTTCGTAAAAGTTATTCTATGAATATGTAGTCTAGGGATCCCTGAGGGTTTAAAAGGCGGTTGTGTGCCAAATAACAACGCAGCCAATTAAAAAAGAATTTTCCAATTGAAGATCTTTTACCAAAAGGAGCAATGATCTGCGTTACACGAATTTGAAAAATCCCTGACTGAAAAGGATTGTCGAAAACATGTAATGACAAATATATGTCTTATCGAAAAATGTGCTGTAGATGTCAGGGAAATGTGTTGGCGGGTAAATAACTTTCAGGGAATTATGCCGTAACCCTAATACTTTTAATTACTTTCGTTCCGGCTAAAATATGATTATTTGAACCACCTGCCATATACTTATATTTTTTCTTTCAATTGGTATATCATAATTATTTTCGTTACATTTTCTTTTTGTTGCATTCTTTTTCGGTATATCTCTTCGGCACATTCTTTTTGTTGGTGCATTCTCTTTTTTTTCAGTAAATTCGCTAAAGTATTTTCGTTTTTGTCATAAACATCTTATTAATCATTTTTTCACTGCAAGCATTGTTTTAAAAACTATTCCTTTTCCATCTTAATTATAAATATGTTTGTTACAAACACAACTATTTTTTCGCCACGACTTTTATAAAAAATTTCTTTTTGGTTATAGTATTTTCTTATTATAAACCTTATTTATTTATTTTTTCATTGCAAAAAATTTCTCATAATGAACTTTTTTATGCCATTATAGCATTACATATATTATTACTAAATAGGCAGCTTATGTAATAATAGCCAAAAAGTTGGTTATTGACAGCATCCTAATAGTAATCTACCCACATAACGACTCTTATCATGCATATAACGAGCGTTGTTGTAACATTTTTATCACAAACAGCATCATTGGTTAAACCTCCTCTCGTGATTTTTATCCAATTATATCAAAGGATCAAGTGTAATGAAATTTTTAGGGTTAGGATTAAGTCACGTTAGGAGGGAAATTTTTTAATTTTTTATGGGAGATCTGTTCTAAATGTTAAATATTTATCTAAATCTATGTAGATTAAAAATTTTTATGGTATAGAAATAATAAGTAATAAAATATTAAAGGGTTTTCATAAACTTGCAACAAATGATTACTGTAAATGAGTGCAAAACCTGTTATCGGGCTTTCAATTGTATTTTTCATCCAGTTTGTTCTGAGTGCCACCCAGGGGAAATCTTATCATCGAACTTTCAATTATATTTGTAATGACTTGTCGCAAAATATAATTGAAAACCCATTGATAGATTTTTCTTAGACGGCATTCAGAGAACAATCTAAACACAAATTGAAAGTCCAATGACAGGTTTCATTGACGGCGCTCAAATGTATATTTTATTTGATCCATTATGATACGTGTCGTACGTCGGAACGGGATTATTGTATATTTAGAATCCACATAGGTTGGAACAGAATTCCGAATGTAGAACAAGTTGATACGAAATTTAAAAGCAACTTACGTCGATTCTAAATTTGATACAGTATAATTGTCGTAAGTGGAAATGGGATTTAAGTGGATTTGGAATTTCCTATTTAAGTTGGGGTTAGGGTTAGGGTGTATATATGACAAAATTAACCCCAAAATGCGGGTTTTATATAAAAATTCCGAATCCACTTAAATTCCGTTTCCACTTACAACATAATCAATAAGTTAATAACAATTTAAGTTGATTTTAATTCAATACTGTAATAAATATGTAATCGATTTACGTGTAAGATAGTTAAACATTACGGCACGTTAACGAAATTAAGCAGGTTAGGGTTAAGGAGTCACCAAATCCAATCATTTGGTCCCCAAATTTAGATTTTGGTTACAAAATTATATATTGATCGATCAGTGTTAAACCCCGAAAAAGTTTTTTGGACCCCTGGTTTGTACCGATAACGAGGCTAACCCATCTTCCCGCCCCCGGCGCATCTCATTAGGCATATGAATTTATTAAAATGACGCATCATAACTTGGGGAATGTCGATTATCTCAGTAAAATCTATTAGTATTCAAATTTTTCAAATTTTGGGCATTTCGCAAATGTGTCGTAATGATAAATTACATAATCATGATAAATTGTCAAAATAACACACAAATTTTTTTTTTTCTTATTCCACTTTTCGTTTTTTGCAACACTCTACCTGATGATCGAATGGTTTCTAAATATTTAGCAAAAAGTCTGCGAATAGGCGACATAAAGCCTTTATAACACGTGAAAACTTTGATTTTTGCATTAAGGTTTTACAAGATCCAGCAAATACAATAATTGAGGATGCAAAAGATCGAACTTATTAAATATGACTCAAACTTAATGGAATTAGGGGGTTTCATAATTAAAATCAGAGAATCTTATTTTATTTTTCCAATTTATACTTCAACATAGTAAAATACTGTTAAAAAATCCATTTTTGCTTACACAAATAATAATCAGAAAGACCAAAACAATAAAATCATATCAGCAGTACCAACAAAGACGGTACCACACTTCAATAAAACCTACTTATTTTCAAAATGTGGCACCTATTTGTTAATTAAAAAAACTTTTTAACCAATTAAATTAATACAAATAAACAATATTATGGCATTAAGAATTCACTCCGAGCTATTGCGCAACTACGTAATACATATTGATCGTGTAACAATTGGTATTAACTATGTGATGAATGATATCGCATGAGGTATTTACCTTCTTATTGTTATTGCCGAAATCGTGTGATGCTATTTATCACATAGTTTGGGACGTCCCAAATAGTTTGGGTAACATCGTTTGCTACAATGCGACTTTTTACAGGTTTTGTAACCAACTGACAGTCAATAATACTTTTAATTAAATCACAATATCTTGTGATCTGTCAATAACACTTTTAATCTAAATCACAATATCTTGAACAGGAGGAACCGTCGATGTTACACGACTGATCTTTCACCCAGTGTGCAACATATAAAAAATTTATTTTACAATACCAGATCATTCCGCCGCTAGCACATTTTATGATTATGATCTAACATCATTTTATTATAATAAAAATGGTGTTGGATTATAATCATATTGTAAAATAATTTTTTTATATGTTGCACACCAGGTGAAAGGTCAGTCGTGTAACATCGACGGTTCCTCTTGTCGTTGTGATCTAACGCTAATAATCTAGATCAGTGTTGTCACGGGACAGTTGTGGACATTTTTGACATTTTTGGACAAATAAATAAATTTAAATTTGCTCAAAATTTTATTAAGTTAACCTATTTTAACTTTCTAAATAAAAATATTCAGCACTATAAAAAATATATAATCATATATTTTTTAAATTAATATATTAATTTTTAAAGCTTGTATATGCTGTGGACATTCTTGGACGTTTGGACATTGGACATGGTCAAAAAAAATCTTGGACATAGTAGACGTGACAACACTGTGTAATTCATCTTATTTAGACGAATTGAATAGTACCAAAACTATATGGGTTAAATCTTACAGGTTGTACAAATTTTAACTGTCAGTTTGTATGAATTTGGCTATCAGTTTGTGTGAAAAACCTGTACACTAGGGGTTTGAAGTAATTTTCCCACCACTTTTATTAGTTCATTTAATTATACACATATCGATAGCGACAACAAATGGAAGGTGTAACGTGAAAACGTGAAAATCCACAAACTTTTAAAAAACTGTTAATAACTCGAATATTTCAGTGGTGGCTATATAAGCTCTCACTTTCAGAATTTAATCTTTTCAAATTTGTGCTTTTTTAAAAACAGTCACTATAAAAAACCTTTTCGAAAGGTGTAATCATTATAAAAATCACACCGTTATCATAGCTTTTTTGGTGTATATAAAATATGCCTCGAACAAAAACACGTACTCATGCGACCTTAGCATGTATAAATTGTCGACAGAGGCATGAAAGATGCGAAAGACTTCCTGGGAAGGATATTTGTACAAACTGTAGAGAATACAATCGATCCTGTGTTTCTATTCCTGGTAACAGACGTGGACCAAAGTCGCGCAGGCAAAATCATGAGTTTGCAAACCTCCAGCCATTTTCAAATATTAATCCTTATAGTGCAATTCAGATCCAACATTCACACCCAGTATCAAGAGTAGCTCACACTCAATATCAACTCACGACCGGTATCGAGAGCCATTCATGCCTGACACCAGAAGTTTGCACTCAATATCAACTCACGCCTAGTACCGAGAGCTATTCATACCTGACACCAGGAATGTATCAAGAGCAACATACGCCAAGTAGTTTGGGTAGCTTATACCCAGTATCAGGAACTACTGAAGCATTCCAAAATATGTTCATTAATCAATCCTCCTCAGCATCTTTTCTCTCATCCTCTTTTGCACATGAAGAATCCACGTTAAATATTGATCGTCCAACTATTAGTCCTTCAATTACTTATTTGACGTCATTATCTAATCCTTTTTATTGCTTCCATTTCGGCTAAAATATTCGAACACGTAATTATTTGAACCACTTATCATATACTGACACTCTCCGTTATATGCTTTTTTATTACAAATACGTTATAACCATTATAAATTATTTATATATTAAAAATTCGATTCTTTGCAATTTGTTCGTCAAACCAGTGAATCCGGTCTTAGGGTGTCCGTTATATCGGTAGTTGATAGAATATATTTTTCTTTCAATTGACATATATATTTTTTGTTATATTTTTTTTCGGTACATCTCTTCGGTGCATTCTTTTTGTTGGAGCATTCACTTTTTTTTCGATACATTCACTAAAATATTTTCGTTTTCATCATAAACATCTTATTTATCGTAAACATTTTTTCATCGCAAGCATTTTTTATAAACTACTTCCTTTCCGTCTTAATATATTTATTACAAACGCAAACATTTTTATTAAAAACACAAAAAATTTTTTTCGTTACGACTTATATAGCAAATTTCTCTTTTTATAGTATGTTTTTTCATTGCAAAAAAAAAAAATTCTCATTATGAACTTTTTTTATTACGAGCATTTTTTGTTACAGTAATTTTTTTTTTAAAAAAAAAATCACAAATAGCAAACATTCTGTTCTAAGTGTAAAATACTTATCCGAATCATATGAATTAAGATATATGAACAATATGATAATAAATGTTAAAGGGTTTTCATAAATTTACAATAAATGATTACTGTAAAATATACTTTTGATCCATTAATATGCTATATTTTCTAGCACAAATGGGTGCCGCCAAGTGAAAACCAGGAATTCTAAAAATAAATTGCTTTAGTCAACGGAATACGGACTTTAAATTATACTAATATATGACAAGAAACAGTATAATTTATTTTTCTAGTCAGATCGGTTAAAAACCCGTATTCTGTTATTATTTTGTAAAGATATAATTCCTTCCGGTTTTCACTTGGTGGCACCCAAATGGCAAAAAAAAATAATAATAATAAATAAATGAATAAATAAATAAAGCATTAACATGTAATATTTTATATATTTCAATTTTGTAACTGTCGTTTTTATTGAAATTTTTAAATTGATCATGAATCAACATAAACAACTTTGGACATGCCAGAGTAATTCTTGTAAAGAAGTAAATAAGGATGTTAATTAACAAGCGAATGAAAAAACTTATGACAAAGTATCAATACATTGGTTGTAACCAACTAATCCGTTTTTTAAAATCCATTTGCTTAATGTTTTCCGATTAACGCAAATAAACATTTCATCTTTGTTGATTTGACACCACGGTATTCCTCTACTCTACGCACTAACAATTTCTTGTAGTTCTAGTGACGGCCTACTAAATTATTGAAATAGCAAGATGACAATGTCATGATAAATATTATAACTAGTTACTTTTGCACAACCCTATATCTGATATCGAATGCAGTCATATCCAATTAATCATTATTGTCATGAATAATGCCAAGAAGGCTTCAATGATTTCTTTTAGGTTGGATAGGTTTATCTTCAAAATAAATTAAATTATACCAAATTGAAAAAAGAGATTGATGTAAATTTTTTATTTATCATAATTTGACAATTCACGTGAGCTTTGCTTATATACATATTATCATAACATTTTTTATAAATTAATTGTTGAGAATATTATTTGAAACTAAGTATTAATATTATTGCATCAATCTATTCGAAATAATTAAACACACGATTTAGAATATTTCAAGAACTCGAAATGGTTTCGTGATTACGAAGATAGATGGAAAAAATGGTGTCTAATATCCAATTGGTCTGAATGATTATATCTGTACGTACGTATGGTCAAAATTTTTATTCAAAAACTAAACAATATTACAGATTGGCTCATTTTAGACAAAATATGGTCTCGAGTCGTCTAAAAATTAAAATATAGATTCTTAATTGCAATTTTCTAATAACAAGGGTTTCAAAGTTAACAAATAAGTGGCGCATTTAAATCTTATTTGCGGTTCAAAATTTTAAAATCGGATAAATAAAATGGGTGTCGAGATCCCCATTTAACGAAATATATAGAACTAAATAGACTTTTCAACGACAAAAATCATGAAATCGTCATATAAAATGATCTGAAGCTTACATAAGTGTAAGGTAACGTAACTCAAGACAAATAAATATATGATATGAATAAATATAGTAACAAGTCTATTATGGATTATTTATTAGATACTAAGATTCTAAAATAAATGATTGATGAATATAATGAAATGTACAAAATTCCAATATAAACTTTTGCTTTCAGACTTTAATTCCTCAAAATTTTGACTCTTTAAAGACTAACAGTCATCGTAAAAACCTTTTTTCGAAAGGCATTTTTTTCAAATTTGCGCTTTTAACATCATAGAAAATTACTGTTATCGTAGAGTTTGACCTTTTTTTGGTGCATATAAAATCATGCCTCAACAAAAAACACGTACCAATACGACCTTAGCATGCATCTATTGTCAACGGAGACATGAAAAATGCGAAAGACTTCTTGAGGAGGAAATCTGTACAAACTGTAGAAAACACAATCGACTCTGTGTTTTTATTCATGGTAACAAACGTGGTCCAAAGCCGCGAATACAAAATACTGGGCTTGTAAACCTCCAGGCTTTTTCAAATATTAATCCTTATACACCTGGCATCGAAAATAGTTCACACTCTGTATCAAGAGCATTTTACACTCAATCTCAACACACGCACGGTATTGAGTGCTATTCATTTCCCACATCAGAAATTTACATCGAGTATCAACCCACGCCTAGTGCCGAGAGCTATTCACGCCTGACATCAGGAGTTTACAACCAGTATCAAGAGCCACTTACACAAAGTAGCTTGGACAGCTTATATCCAGTATTGGGGACTACTAAAGTATTCCAAAATATGTTCATTAATCAATCCTCCTCAACATCTTCCTCTTTTACCCACAAAGAACCCACAATAAATATAGATCCTTCAACTATTATTGATCATTTAACGATTAATGACCTTTCAACTATTAATGATCCTTGTCTAATCCTGTGATCCTTTTAATGACTCCAAATATGTGAGCACGTGATTATTTGAACTACCCGTCATATTTGCCATGTATAATTTTTTTCTTCAATTAATATGCAGTGCATCCCCTATAAATGCACACACTCTCTAAATGCATGCTTAAATTCGAGCCAAAATATATACATGACTTCCATAAATGCATTTTTTCTTACTAAGTGCATGTCGCTAAAGTTCAATCCCAAGATCGTGTACTTATGAAGGTTTTACTGTATATTTTTTTCTTCAATTGGTATATTTATTTTACTACACTCTCTTTTTAGGAGTCTTCTTTTTTTTTTTTTTTTGATGCATTCCCTTATTTCGGTACATTTTCTTGTTTTAATATTTTCTCTTTTTCATTACATTCTCTTTTTCGTTAAAGTATTTTCACTTAGTCACAATCATTTTATTTATCATAAGCATTTTTTTACCGTAAGCATTTTTTCATGAAACTATTTCCTTACCGTTTTTATTATGAATTTATTTATTACAAACATAATCATTATTTTGTCATTAAGAGCGTTTTTATTGTAAACATTTCTTTTTCACGAACACTATTGGTTAAGCATTCTATTTTAAATGAAAGTATATATTCGAATCTACGTAAATTTAAAACTTTTAATAATAAATATTAAGAATTTTTATATAAAAGACTAAATGTGGGCTTATTTTTGAACCTGGACCAATTTTATGACGTAATAACATTTTGGTCTGGATTCAAAAATAATTACCATTATATGATATAATCAGTGTTGTCAATATTGTGTTCTATTGATAAAAATTATATTCTATTCTAATTTCTATTGCTCTATTCTATTGTTCTATTTATTTATGCTATATTAATATCTAATTATAATCTTGGCAATTTTTTGTTCTATTAACAAAATTTTTATTCTATTCTAAATTCTATTGCTTTATTCTATTGTTCTATTAATCTATTGCTGCCAACACTGGATATAATGTATCTATATCTCTATTATATATGGCATATTCTCTGCCTGCGGATATATGAGTCAGTCATATACCATATACCGTGACATAAACTTTTGAGTACACCGTTTTTTTTTTTTTTTAGTACACTTAAATGAAGTTGCTTTGAAATTTCTAAATCGAATAAAATAACTCGGACACACCGAAGTAATATTTCCAAATCAAACAGCAGAGGCAGTGCCCGATTCAAAGTGAATTTCTTTCGCCCGTAATCAATTACAAATTAAATTACTTATGGATTCAATTGTGATGGATATAATCTCTCTTCAGTTTTAATATGTTAACTGTCTCTGCTGTTTAAATAATTATGGACACGTTAGAGTAATTTTTGTAAAGAAATAAATAAGAATGTTAATAAAAAACTTGTTATAATTAATGGCAAGTATCAATACACTGGTTGTAATATTAGATAACATAAAAATGTTAATGAAAAACTTGTTATAATTAATGACAAGTATCAATACACTGGTTGTAATATTAGATAACATATGTTTTTTACATTCTTTTTTCTTCTCTTTGAAGTGGCAAACTTGCCTGTGTGTCTTTATTAGTAATATATGATTATATTTTTTTATATACAAAATCTATTAATGAAAGTATAATTAGTCACACATATAACTTTAGTCATTATCTAATTAAGGGTTTTGCTCATAGTTTATCCACTAGATGCCATACCTGAGACCTGTCTATGAATCTTCTATTTAAACTTTTTGATTTTCAATACTTATTTGTATATATATGCAATATTTACATTACTATTATAGTGACATATTAGATTAAGACTATCTAATTACTATTTATATCAAAGTATCACTTTATTGGATATTACTATGTATCCATAGTTCTTCAAATTTATTCTTGACACAAATTTACTAAGCATGATATCAAGATTATTTCTTAAATCCAATTTAATGTATCTTGTATCTACTAAACTGGTTTTAATATCAAAAACATTTAAATTTCAATAAATTTTTTTTTTTCATAGTTTTTTTTTATATTCACTATATTACCTATTAGTATATTTTTTCTTCATTTTTGATATATTCACTGCTTCTCTTGTATCAAATGTAAACTCTCTATATTAAAAAACTTCTTTTTGAGAACTTCCTTATATATTAATCTTTTATTTACATGAACTTAGATATAGAGTTTTATATACATTCATATACTTCTATAGATTATAGAGTTTTATCTTCAGCTAAAATTGAACTATTGACCTTATTTGTAGAAAGAGGAGTGCTTAGACCACTAGATTACAGAATCTTAATCTTATATTTTTTTATATTCTTAATTAATGTAAATAAATATTTTATAAATTTCTGAATTGATGAATTTCTTATTCATATTATTTCTTTATTAGTATTTAACTATATCAAAAATATAACAATAAGATACAAGAAGTCTTTTTATTAATTTACTTACTTATTCTATAGATCTTAACAGAATTATGTCCTTACAAAATTTACTTAAACCTTAGTATTATTTTATAACATATCTTTAGTACTTTAGTATATTCCTATTTCTGTCTCCTGATTTTTAATTCAGATGGTTTATATAAGATTATAATTAGTTTATTATATATCAGATTAGTCTAATATTTTTTTTTCAGTTTTTTAGTTAGAATTCTAGTAATCTGATAATAATACCTTCTATTTAAAGATTTTGTTTATTCAGTTTTTTTACATTGATATTCATTTCTTAGATTTAGTCTTTATAGTAGTATTCTTAAAAATTTGTATTATCTTTTTATTTAGGTTTTTTCAAATATGTTTTTTTTTTCTTAATTTTAATAGATTTGCATGGCTACAAATACTTGTTTTGAGTTTATATTATCTAATACTAATTTATATTTTTCTGTATAATTATTATATAGATTTTTTTATAACCTGTTAGTTATATTAGTATAATTATCATTACAGATATCTTAATCTAATTATTAAAAACAATTGTTATAATACAAGTAAAATTTTAAAATTTTATTATTAATAAGTTTTAATTTCTTAATTTATTACTTAGAAAAATGACAACTTGTTTATTTTATTATGTCATCATATTTCTTAAAGTAGATTCTAATATTATATATATTAGAATTATTAAAAAAATTAATAAGATTATATTTAAAAATATATATATATATATATTTTTTTTTTTAAGATGAAGTCTTGCTTGTATCTTTATTAAGTAATTTATAAAATAGTAACATATATGCAGTATATACATTTCTACTATT